AATTTTGGACCCCAATTTGGACCAACTTGAAAACTGGGCCAAAAATCTAAAATCTAAATACATGTTTAGATTCAGCATATCAAAGAACCCCATATATTCAATTTTTGTTGAAATCAAACAAAGTTTAATTTTGGACCCCAACTTGGACCAACTTGAAAACTGGGCCCATAATCAAAAATCTAAACACATGTTTAGATTCAGCATATCAAAGAACCCTAAGAATTTAATTTTTGTTAAAATCAAACTAAAGTTTAATTTTGGACCCTTTGGACCTTAATGTAGACCAATTTAAAAAACGGGACCCAAAATTAAAAATCTAAATACACGGTTAGATTCGGCATATCAAAGAACCCCAATAATTCAATTTTTGATGAAATCAAACAAAGTTTAATTTTGGACCCTTTGGACCTCAATGTGGACCAATTTAAAAACAGGGCCCAAAATCCAAAAACTTAATACACGGTTAGATTCAGCATATTAAAGAACCCCAAGAATTCAAGAATAAAACCCCATTGAAATTGATCAAGAAATAAGCAATTTATACGAAGTATCTTCTTTTGCACAATACTGTACAATTGAATATTTCTTGCTATTGCGCAATACTGTACAATTGACAATTTCTTGCTATTGCGCAATATTGTGCTATTGGATATTTCTTGCTATGGCGCAATACTGTTAAATTGAAGATTTCTTGCTATTGCGCAATACTGTGCAATTGAAGATTTCTTGCTATTGTGCAATACTGTGCAATTGAAAATTTCTTGCTATTGCACAATACTTATTATATAATAATTTACACATCCTGTTTGGTGTGTATCTCCTACCATATCATTATTATTTGCTTTTAAATATAAATCAGAAATAACCAACTTAAAAGGGAAAATTTTAAAAGAAAAAAAAAAAGGAAAAAAAGAAAAAAAAAAAATCCCCCCCCCCCCAAATTTTTTGAACCCCCTTATGATTCATCACCCCCAAACTCAATCCCAGCCTTCCCTTTGTGGTATGGTACCTTGCAGTACAATTTCAGAGAGATCCATACACTTGAACACAAGTTATTGTCTGGAAACTAGAAAAATGCTTATTTTTGGCCCCTTTTTGGCCCCCAATTCCTCAACGTTTCGGGCAATTACCCCCAAACTCAATTCCAGCTTTCCCTTTGTGATATGGAACCTTGTAGTACAATTTCAGAAATATCCAAACACTTACACACAAGTTATTGTCATGAAACTAGAAAAATGCTTGTTTTTTGCCCCTTTTTTGGCCCCTAATTCCTAAAATTTTGAGGCAATTACCCCCAAAATCAATTACAGCCTTCCCTTTGTGATATGGAACCTTGTGGTACAATGTCAGAGAGATCCATACACTTACACACAAGTTATTGTCTGAAAGTTACAAAAATGCTTATTTTTGGCCCCTAATTCCTTAACTGTTGGTACCATAACCCCCAAAATCAATCCCAACCTTCCTTTCGTGGTATTGAACCTTATGGTGAAATTTCATGGAGATCCATTCACTTCAACTAAAGTTAGAGTGCGAAAACCAATGTGTCTTCGGACGACGCCATACGACGACGACGACGACGACGACGACGACGACGACGACGACGACGACGCCAACGTCATACCAATATACGACCAAAAAATTTTTAATTTTTGCGGTCGTATAAAAAATCAAAAAAATCAAAAACGACAAAAAAATAATGTTATCCGAGTTATCTCCCCTATATGGAAAAGTTGAAAAACATATGCAAAAAACGTTCTGTATTCAAAAACAAATACTGTAAATTCAGAAATTATTGCGATGTTTTTATTATTGCGAAAAATGCGATAGGATTATAATCGCAATAATTTAAAAAGTACAACAGGGGGGTAGCTAGGACGAAAAATTTTGTCCTGCCTTTTTTTAGTTGTAATCTCTGTCCTGCCTTTTTATTTTTCACTCTATTCGGTCCTGCTTTTTTTATTTATTAGTTTATTCTGACTTTTTTTTTACATAAATTGTCATCCTGCCTTTTTTTTTTGCCAAGTTGCTCATCCTGCCTTTTTTTACTCAAAACTCCTGTCCTGCCTTTTTCAAATTTCATTCTAGCCCCCCTATAAAAATCAAATGGTAGCTCCCAAAAATAAAACGAAATAAACGAGAGAAAAAAGATCAAAAGCCAAACAACAGTATATTAAGCGCAACATATAGAAAATCAAAAACTGAGCAACACGAAACCCTCAAAAAAGGGGTGATCTCAGGTGCTCCAGAAGAGTAAGCAGATCCTGTTTCATATGTGGCACCCGTCACTTGGCGATTTTGCAAATAAAGAAGGAATGTGTTATAATTTACGAGGTAATCCCAAAAAACATGAACTACTGGGTGTCAAATCGATGAACGTGCTTAAAATATGCTCCTTTTCATAAAAAAAGAATTGATGAAAATGTATTTATATTTAGTGTACAGTGGCAAATATTACATGCATATAAGGACGAGAATATGTAAGTGTAATATGAATATGAATAAATCTTGGCTCTGTACAAGACATATTTTGCTTGCTTAGCCGAATTTTTAACAAACTAGTTGACAAACCGACTCTGACAATCTATGGAAATCCAAATAGCTTCGGTTTTGATTAAGTCCAGATTTTTTGGTTTTATTTCGGGGAAAAGGGTGCGTTTTACGTACAGTGGCAAATAGCACATGCATATCAGGACGAGAACATGTAAGTGTGATATGAATATGAATAAACCCTGCTTTGTTACAAGACATACTTTACTTGCCTAGCCGAATTTTCAACGAACTAGTCGACAAACTGTCTCTGACATTCTATGGAAGTCGTAATCGCATCACTTTTGATTAAGTCCAGATTCTTTTGTTTTATTTCATGGAAAAGAAAATTCAAATTTTCAGATACCTCTAACAAGACCGGGGGTGGGGTCACATTCTGATATAGCTCTGACCCTCTCAGTCCTACGCTAATCGTATTATTTGTCATATCAGTTGATCTTTGTTTTTTAAGATTAAGACTCCAGATTCTTATGTTCTATTTCGTGGAAAACGGGAGTGGTAAATACAAATTCTCCGCTAACTCTTACATAGATGTGATTTTATTTGAGTAAAATTTGACCCTCACAGTCATAAGTCTTATAAGCACAATATTATGTTGTATATATTAACACACAACATTGATAAATATTTTCTTAAATATTGTTCATAAAAAAAAGTCTGGTTTTTAATCATAAATAAAAATCCAAACAAAACATGTAAAATATACGGCAAAACTATATTCAAGTGTAATATATAGCGATGGGTAATTCTTTTGCTTATTGAATCATTTTGCCTCCGAACTTGCAAATGAAGAAGAAAAAGTCCTTGGGATTTGTCCCTCATTCTTTTCCATAGAATTGCAGTTTCAATTCACATAATTCTGTAATGTTTTACGCATCATTATTGTCTTTCAATTTAACATAAAACGATCTAATATTTGTACTATATTCGAAGTCAACACCAAAAATCTTCAATTCTGCACAAGTATATGTCATCCTATCATTGTTTTATTTTGACTTTACGTTCTGTTTTTATAACTTAACATTTTACTGTTTCAAGTCAAGACCAAACTACTTCAAATTTACATCGTGTAGTTTCAAGTCAACACATTGTATGATAAGCCTCTCGTGACGTCATAATGATATAACATCGTGCTATCTTAGCTCAACAACACGTACTTTCAACTGTACGTCGTGTAGTTTTGAATGAGCATATTGTATGGCAAGCCTATCGTGATATTATTATGATATAACATCGTGCTATCATAGCTCAACATCACATACTTTCAACTGTACGTTGTGTAGTTTTAAATGAGCATATTGTATGATAAGCCTATCGTGACATTCACATGATATAGCAACATGCTATCTTAGCTTAACATCACCTAGTTTCAACTGAAAATCATGTAGTTTTAAATGAGCATATCGTGAGGTAAGCCTATCGTGACGTCATAATGATATAACATCGTGCTATCTTAGCTCAACAACACGTACTTTCAACTGTACGTCGTGTAGTTTTGAATGAGCATATTGTATGGCAAGCCTATCGTGATATTATTATGATATAACATCGTGCTATTATAGCTCAACATCACATACTTTCAACTGTACGTTGTGTAGTTTTAAATGAGCAAATTGTATAATAAGCCTACTGTGACATTATAATGATATAACATCGTGCTATCGTAGCTTAGCATTACAAAATTTCAACTGTACGTCCTGTAATTTCAAGAGAGCATCTTCGCTCAACACGTTGCATCGTGTTGTTTTAAGTCAACAAATTGTATGGTAAACATTTCGTTTCAATATAGTGGTGTAGCATCGTGTTATCTTAACTTAACATCATATACTTTCAACTGTGCATCATGGTGTTTTAAATCAACAGATTGCATGATAGACCAATCGTAATATCACAATGATATAACATCGTACTATCTCAGCTCGACATTTATTAATAACAAGGCAGCACCATACATTTTAGCTATTCATTTTATTTGTTATCATAGCTGTCGATGTGGATGACTGAGCAGTATCAATCTGCAAGCTAACATCATGCAACGTCAACTTCACATCATGTACTTTAAACCCAACGTCACGTGTGTTTGGCATATCATCACAACATCGTGACTTATCATTATACTATCACGACTAAAGCACTTGTCATTGCAAGTCAACATTGCGCAAATTCAACTTTGCATATTGTAATTTAGAGTTAGCATTTTGGTGACTCAATTTAACATCACGCTGTCTTAACTTTACATTTTAAGCTTCAGCATAACGTTTTGTAAATCTCTAATATATGACAGCTGAGGCTTTCCATATGATACTATAATTCAGATTGAGTTCCGTGTTTAAGTTTTATAATTGATTGTCCGAGTTCAAGGACATTTTCGCTCACAAGATATCCAAGAAAGATTAGTATTTTGAAAACTTAAGCTGTCTAATTCTTTCAAAGTCTGTTCCTATACTTACTGATGTAACTGATGACCTTGATTCTAAACATTTATTTTACTCCAAAATTGATCGTTCTTTCTACTTTCACTTTCTGTTTTATTCACATGCGCAGAAGGAATATCCGCCACATGGATTCTGTGTTTGACATTGAATATTTTTTTATGTGATGAACTGTCAAATGTGAACAAGTATAATGACTATATTTCGGTTATCATCAGGCATCATCAGAACTCAGTATAACAGATCTTTGCTGAATAATAAGGTAACAGTCATTTAATTGTGAACAAGGACAGAACTTTACATAACAAAAAAATTAACATGATATAAAAAGCCTTAAAAGGGACGGAAAGGGTAACAACACACATCTAGTATGAAGCAGTTTATGTTTTTGCTGCATTTACTTTGTGAACCAAAAAGACCGGATTTTCTCACAACTGATGAATAAATAAAAATTTAGGTTTCCATTAAACGAAATTGTACAAGAAAAGAACAATTACGTAAGCTCTCGATTTTTTTGTGGTATTTTGCAACCAATAGACTTGAGATAACTATAACATAGATATTGGTCACACGTGTTATCGTGTAGAAACTGACTTGAATTTGTTATCGAAAAATAGTGAAGATTTGTATGTATAGCTTTAGGTTCCACAATGACAGGCACTTGTCTCTGAAAAAAAAAAATACCTATATACTTTAATATAACACAAGGTACTTAACTCGTATATTTGAGAAATATCACCCGGTCGGGAACTAACGTTATAATTCAACTTGGCAGTTGTCTATCCCACTGAAAATTGTTACATGTATGTCGTAAATCTACATTAAATTACAGGGCATAAAGATTACCATTTCCCGTTTCCCGGGGAAAGTAAATTATTACACGGGGAAAGTGACATTGCAGTTGCTAACATCCCGTCGGGAAAGTCGTTTTCCGGTAAATAAATAAAATAATTTGTCCCTATTACTTGTTTAAATGTCAAAATACTTCTGTAAGATCATCTGAGCGTCGAATTTCCATGATTTCATCACATGTTTACGCGATTTACACATGTGCCTTTTGGTATTTAGTTAGATCATTAGCAGAACGGTTTAAATTTACGATATCCGGTTTGTAGCACGGGAACCAGTTTGTAAATATTGTGGACGCCTGTTTAGTTATAATTCCATACACATAATATGGATTGTCTATTGCTTATAGTATATAAATTTTAAAAAGTCACACAAAATTATCATAATCAGTTGACATGTTAAACCCTTAAAAGTATGCTCAGATTGCAGGATTTTGCATCTTAAATTTCAAAATTTTCTTGGAGGGGGGCATGCCACCAAACCCCCTAGCAAATTCGACCCACTTTGCGGGTCTCAACTGGGGATAGTGGATTTGCACACGGGAAAGTGAATTTTTTTTATCACTTTCCCTTGGGTAAGTGGCCTGCCAAAAAATTCTTCATGCCCTGAATTATCTACAAAATGGTGTATAACATGCCTATTTCTATTGTCGGAATCTTTCGTAACATCCTTTCAAAGTATGTCAATTGTCTTCTCACAGCGGATTGGAAGTGTTAATCTTTATTATCCTAATAAAAAAAAGCGGGGATGTAGGATTTAGGGGGTGAAAAAGTGGGATCTGGGCAAAAGAAGTAAATAGAGGGGTGTGGGAAAAAATAACCCCCAGAAAAGCAGCCTTTCATAAGAAATAAAGGATTATAAATGTGGTTTTAAAATAAAAAGATGAGAGAAAATAGTGGCATTAACAATTAGAGAATATAGAAACGCCCTTCACACACCATCCAGAACATAAGCAACTGTGTTATAATGAAGGGGGAGGTCACCCAAAATTGTCTTTATACGACCGCAAAAAATTTGCGTTCGTTATAATATTGCTATCATGTCGTCGTCATCCGAAGATATTTGGTTTCCAGTCAATTACTTTAGTATAAGTGAATGGATCTGTATGAAATTTAATCACAAGATTCAATAGCACAAAAGGAAGGTTGAGATTGAATTTGGGTGTTAAAGTTCCAACTGTTTAGGAATTAAGGGTCAAAAAGGGGCCAAAAAAGGCATTTTTCTAGTTTCCGGACAATAACTTGTGTATAAGTGTATGGATCTCTATGAAATTGTACCACAAGGTTCCATACCACAAAGAAAAGGTTGGGATTGACTTTGGGGGTTATGGCCCAAACCGTTCAGGAATTAGGGGCAAAAAAAGGGGGGGAAAACAAGGTTTTTGTTGTTAATGGACAATTACCGGTAAGTATTATTTTATGGAGCTTTATGAAATTGAATCACAAGGTTCCATACCACAAAGGGAATACCACAAAGGGAAGGTTGGGTTTGACTTTGGGGGTTATGGCTCAAACCGTTCAGGAATAAGGGGCAAAAAGGGGGGTGGGGGAGGAACAAGGTTTTTGGAAAATGACGCTATCAGCGGCATGTTTCCGATACCATTGACCAGAACTTACGGAAGTCGATTATTGCCTCCGCCTACCGCACTCGGTTTCATATTTACTATTTTACATACTAACTGGAATCTGCTCGTATTACGCTACACTCGAACAAAGTGTTGTAGTCGGACGGGAACCAGTTTACATACTTTATTTTATTTACCAAAAAGATATCTTGACCTGTCCATATGTTTTTTGTTATTAAATGGTATTTGGAGCTATCCCTTTGTTATATTTTTCATATTTATTCGAGCTTTCACTTTTATGCATAGTCTTACAATCGTAAACAATCGGTATTTATACATGATAAATAGATCCGTTTTGTTAAGGTGTTGGACTTTTTACCCTCCAATGATCAGCAATCGCTAGACAAAATAGTTCTCCTAAATAATGTCAGCCTTTCATGCCATTTCAACTTTACAATCATTAAAAAAAGTGAAAATCGGAATCATTTTGATATCCATTGGATAGAAACTGGTCTGAATCCAGATTTACGAAGATTCTAAAAATCGGAAATTAGTAATACGGTTATACCCACGCGGTGCGTATGAATCTTTGTTTACAAAACAGGATTTCGGAACGTCTCTAGGTTTTTAGATCGTAAGTCTCGATAAACTCAAACTGAAAGTAAACAGTTGTTTGTAAGACGCAGGTTTACTCACCATAAACAAGCTGAAACGTTCAGTATGGCATATATTTTAGGTTAAAGACGGTCCCATTCATTTAAAAAGCTTTTTGAAAGTAGACGATGGGATTATTTCAGGTTTGATGAACGAGTAAATTATCACAAAGTTCATTTCTTGACGACCTCATAATTTCATCATGTCGATGGTACAAATCGATTTTTACTGTTTACTGTCGCTTCGTATGTTTTGTATTTAAACGGTCGTTTATTTTTAAACCCGAACCAGGCATATGCATTCTGTAATTGTGCAAATCTTCGTTCTTTGGTCAATTGGCTTATGGATAGTTGTATCAATTTCAACTCTTACATTATTTTTTTTTAAATATATTTGCATTACACATGCAATGGCAGTACCTTTCCAATTACTATTTATGTGTTGTGTCTAAATTAAAGTTGTAACACTTTATAGTGACTGGAAAGGGTACAAAAATTCATCAGATGAGAAAAGGCTGAAGATACTTCAAACGGCACCGAATCATTAGATATTGCATCTTATAAAAAGAAACTGAGATTTGGATAGTTCCACTTCAAGGTAAAAATGTTTATCTCTTGTGAAATGAAATAAAAAAATATTGTAACACTGTAGTTAATTAATAAAGATACTATTACGTGTATTTCTGTATTGGCCTTATTATTGGTTCTCGGCCAGCAGTCAAACGGCACCGAATCATTAGATATTGCATCTTATAAAAGGAAACTGAGATTTGGATAGTTCCACTTAAAGGTAAAAATGTTTATCTCTTGTGAAATGAAATAAAAAAAATATTGTAACACTGTAGTTAATTAATAAAGATACTATTACGTGTATTTCTGTATTGGCCTTATCATTGCTTCGCCTCAGACCAATACACCCAAGACATGGACCAATAACAAGGCCAATACAGAAATACTTACGCAATGATATTATAGAATGACAGTATGGTTCAATAGCGGGAATCAGCCCCTCAACTACTTTTTACATAAATATTAACTTCTGGCTTCAACGCTTTGTTCGTCTTGTCTGGAGATCTTGCTGTTGTTCCAGTTCAGTAAGCATTTTAGAGACGTATCCCGTCCATCCTCTTTTGACTTGTAATCTCTGGTGATAGATTTTGCTGCTTGACATTGTATCCTTTCAAGCTTGTTTTTTTTGTTACCGTGTAGGGGTCCCATACTATGGCTCCATATTAAATTATAAGATCCATTCCTAAAGATCTAGATCATTGTTCTAATCTGACACAAATTTCAATAACTAGAATGCTACCCAAGTTGAATATATGGTGACCCACGAGAACAGCATTATCACTATTGAAATTGTGTTTAATACCATGATTGTTCAATGTCATTAACTTAAATGGAGACAGACATTTGACCTGAAAGACATGAAAGGTGGTGTGGGAGTGCAAAATCAAAAACTAACTGACTATAGTATATGTTTAATTTAAAGAATGAATATCAATTACATGTGTCAACATGGTCAAGGGCAGAGTTGTTATAAAATAACAATATGGCAGAGAAGTGGTTTTAAGTTTCATATAAAGCGACCTGACTGACATGAAATAAAAAATCTAAGGAGTATCCCTATTTGTCTAATCTTCAAGGTGAAATAAAACTAGTAAAACAATATTATACAATAGTCTAAATATACAGAAATATAATTTGCTTCAAGTAACAGAAATAACTAGGTCACTAGTAACTTATTTAATGAGTATGTGGGGTATAAGAGCTTGCTAACAACAGGCTCTTCATAATCATTTGGTTTGAAAAGGATACTAGTAGTCTATATTCTTGATTTAGAAAAATGTAATTGCAAGAAAAAAATCACATTACTTAGAATACTTTAGATCATTCAGGTAGTCTTTATTTATATGTACAAAAGAACAGCCAGTAGTCATTGGATATTGTAGATCATTCAAATAGTCTTGACCTTTTTATTAGTACAAAAGAACAGCCAGTAGTCATTGGATATTGTAGATCATTCCGGTAGTCTTGACCTATTTATTTATACAAAAAAACAGCCAGAAGTAATTAGATACTGTAGATCATTCAGGTAGTCTTTACCTATTCATTTGTACTGAAAAAACAGACACATATACGAATATCAATTATATGCTTACGAGACATGTTGCAATGTTAAACTTATTACGGTATGTGAAAATCAAGACTTGCATAAAAAATATCACAATATTAGAGACAGTGGCGTCATTTTTCCTCAGAGCTTTCAGCTCTTTGATTCTGGTTTCCAGACAAATACTTAAGTATTAGTCAATGGATCTCTATGAAATTGTACCACAAGGTTCCATACCACACACAGAAGGTTAGGGTTGATTTTGTGGGTAGTGGCTTTAATCGTTAAGAAACTAGAGGCCAAATAGGGGCCAAAAACAAGACTTTTCTAATACTGGCTAAGCTGGTTCTAACATAAATTATTTCTGATCTATATAAAGAAACAACACATACTGATATGGCAGAATTTTAAAAATGAAACAGGGTGTATATAAAAAAGAAGATGTGGTATGATTGCCAATGAGACAACTCTCCACAAGAGACCAAATGACACAGAAATTAACAACTATAGGTCATCGTATGGCCTTCAACATTGAGCAAAGCCCATACAGCACAGTCAGCTATAAAAGGCCCCGAAATGACAATGAAAAACAATTCAAACGAGGAAAACTAATGGCCTAATTTATGTACAAAAAATGAACAAAAAACAAATATGTAACACATAAACAAACGACAACCACTGAATTACAGGCTCCTGACTTGGGACAGGCACATACATAAAGAATGTGGCGGGGTTAAACATGTTAGCGGGATCCCAATCCTTCCCCTAACCTGGGACAGTGGTGTAACAGTACAACATAAGAACGAACTATAAAAATCAGTTGAAAGCTTAACTCATCAGATGGATAAAAATATGTGTAAATTATTATATTTACCGGTGGTTTGTAAACAGATTTACTAAGTACAATGTATTGCGCAACAGCAAAGTATTGCACAACAGCAAGAAATCTTCAATTGAAAATAAATACAAATCTTTTAACCAATTTCAATGAGGATTAATTTAAAGTCTTGAATTGTTTGAGGTTTTTACCATGTATTACTATATTTGATATTTGGACATTTTTAAATAGGTCTACATTGAGGTTCAAAGGGTCCAAAATTAGACTTTGTTTGATTTCATCAAAAACTTAATTCTTGTGGTTCTATGATATGCTGAATCTAACAGTGCATTCAGATTTTTAATTTTGGGCCCTGTTTTCAAATTAGTCCATATTAAGGTCCAAAGGGTCAAAAATTAAACTTTGTTTGAATTCATGGTTTTTTATGCCCCTGCTATAGCGGAGGAGGCATTAAGTTTTACCCTTGTCCGTCTGTACATACGTACGTCCCAATATTGGTTTCCGTTCTCTATTTTTAGTTTGCCTCAACCAAATGTTATGAAACTTATACACAATGCTTATTACCACAAAACACAGATTATGTTTGAATGTTGGTGACATCATTTATACCATTCTAGAGTTATGCCCCTTTACAAATGGAAAAATTGATTAAATATTCGTTTCTGTTCTCTAAATTTAGTTTGCCTCCACCAAATGTTATGAAACTTCTGCACAATGCTAATTGCAACAAAACACAGATCAAGTTCTAATTTTGGTGGTGTCACTTTTACCGTTCTAAAGTTATGCCCCTTTCCAAATGGAAAAATTGCTGAATTTTTTGTTTCCGTTTTCTAACTTAAGTTTGCCTCAACTAAATGTTATGAAACTTATAAACAATGCTTATTACCACAAAAATCAGATCAAGTACAAATTTGGGTATCGTCACTATTACAATTCTTGAGTTATGTCCCTTTATAACGTTATATGCAAGCAGGGGCATCATCTGTGTCCCATGGACACATTCCCCATTTATTTTTTTATATGCCGAATCTAACCATGGAATTAGATTTTGGATATTGGACCATTAAGTAGATTAAATGTCCCATTTCAAATTTTTAAGTTATCTGACCACATTTATTCTGAGTCAGAAATCTATAATGTGTCAAATATTTAACATTATCCAAATTCAGAGCTGTATCAAGCTTGAATATTGTGTGCATACTTGCCCATACTTTTCAGAGTTCGACCTCTGCGGTTGTATCCAGCTGCTCCAGGTGGAGCGCATTTTATTGATATACTGTAAATTCAGAAATTATTGTGTGCATATATTATTGCGGTTTTTGAGGAATGGACATAAATGCGAGATTAATTATTGTGATTTCAGGAAAAGCTGCATAGAGATATATGCATCAGATATCAGAATGCGAGTTCTAATTATTTGGATACTCACCTAGTCGCATTATTCGCATTAATAAAAACCTCGAAATAATTTCTGAATTTACAGTACGCATTATATTCTCATGGAAAGTTAAAGAATTGAGTTGCTTTCACATGCTACGGTTACAAATTTTTCAACATGCAAAAGTATTAACGATAAAGAATGGATATTCATAAACTGAGAAAAATATCAGTATCCGGACTGACAATGATACCCTGTTCACTTTAACTAAGTTTTACATTGATATTGACTCTTTCACAAATAGAATTACAAAAGGGTTTGTCTGATATACCATTCCTTGTAAGTGCTACATACAATACAGTAAAATACGTTTCTGTTTTGCAATTTGACAAACAGGTAATTCTATTTGTGAAAAAGTCGGTATTCATAGGCAGCATATTAGAAATCTGACTAAGAAAGAAAGATGTAAGACAACATTCAGGAACATGCAGTAGAGGAACATTTGAGTATTTCCGTTTTTTATAAAATGAACAACTGTGATAAATACAAACAACTGGCCAAGGAAGTGTAAGCATACTTTTATTCCGGCGTGTATTTAATCCGACATACCTATAATCACTGGGGAATATTATATGGCAATAGTGTAATTGAGATGTACTATTATTGATTTGTTTATTTACATTACATGTTACTTTCTTTAACCAGTAATATAAACAAACAAATTGTGTTTTGTATACATGTGTATAACCTTATAACCAAAAAAGATATGAAAATGTTTAATGAAAATGAGAGCATTGAAATTCCTGAAAAGGAAGATGAATGTTTTACAATTATAGTTTACATGTTTTAATTTCAGCATTTGCATTTTACTATCAAAATTACAAAAAGCAAGACATATCTTTGTGTCAACAGTTTATATTAACTTGTGTATCATCCCTTTTGCACTTTTAAGCAATTGAAATATGTTTAAACTAACAGTGATTGATAAATAGTCAGACATTGTCAGAGAGAGCAAATGGTATGTCCTGATTATGATGCTTTTCAGAAAAATTCATATAAGTAAACAAGAACTGATTTGTTTTATTTAATATTTTTATTAAATGTATATATATTCACTTTCTATTTCAGTTTAAACCTTATTATTGTGCATTTTATTCAACTGGTCCCAATGCCAGAAAAATTGGAGTAAGTATATTATCATATTGTGATGAAACTCTTACAAGATTCTTGAGATACATATAAAGGTTTCTAGACATTTATTTCTGAATAAAAGCTGTTCCAGACAAAAGGATATAGTTAAATGTATACTTATAAGCCTTAGAAGACATTTTTTAGCTCTCCTGGCCTGAAATACCAAGTGAGTTTTTCTCATCACTTGGCGTCTGTTGTCCATCGTCGTCTGTTAACTTTTCCAAAAATCTTCTCTGAAATTAGTGGGCCAAATTTAACCAAACTTGGCCACAATCACCATTGGGGTATCTATTTAAAAAAATTGTATCCGATGACCCCCGCCTGCCAAGTTGACATGGCTAAAAATAGAACCGAGGGGTAAAATGCAAGTTTTGCCTATTATTTTGAAAGCTGCTATAAATAGAGAAAATCTGTCATTCACGTCAAAACTGTCAGACAATTTCTTATAGGAGTTATTGTCCTTAAGTGATATATTTTACCATTTTTATGCCCCCGCTGTAGCGGAGGGGTTTTTGTCGAGCCTTCGACTTTTGTCGAAAAAGCGAGACATAGCGATCCTACATTCCGTCGTCGTCGGCGGCGTCCACAAATATTCACTCTGTGGTTAAAGTTTTTGAAATTTTAATAACTTTCTTAAACTATCCTGGATTTCTACCAAACTTGGACAGAAGCTTGTTTATGATCATAAGATTATATTCAAAAGTAAATTTTGTAAAAAAAAAATTCCATTTTTTCCGTATTTTACTTATAAGTGGACTTAGTTTTTCTGCCAGGAAACATTACATTCACTCTGTGGTTAAAGTTTTTGAAATTTTAATAACTTTCTTAAACTATCCTGGACTTCTACCAAACTTGGACAGAAGCTTGTTTATGATCATAAGATTATATTCAAAAGTAAATTTTGTAAAAAAAAAATTCCATTTTTTCCGTATTTTACTTATAAGTGGACTTAGTTTTTCTGCCAGGAAACATTACATTCACTCTGTGGTTAAAGTTTTTGAAATTTTAATAACTTTCTTAAACTATCCTGGATTTCTACCAAACTTGGAAAGAAGCTTGTTTATGATCATAAGATAGTATCCAAAGTAAATTTTGTAAAAAAAAAATTCCATTTTTTCCGTATTTTACTTATAAATGGACTTAGTTTTTCTGCCAGTTAACATTACATTCACTCTGTGGTTAAAGTTTTTAAAATTTTAACAACTTTCTTAAACTATCCTGGATTTGTACCACACTTGGACAGAAGCTTGTTTATGATCAAAAGCTAGTATCTAGAAGGAAATTTTGATAAAATTTTGTTCCATTTTTTCTGTATTTTACTTATAAATGGACTTAGTTTTTCTTCCAGTCAACAGTACATACATTCTGCAGTTTAAGTTTTTAAAACATTTATTAGATTCATAAATTATCCTGGATTTTTACCAAACTTGGACAGAAGCTTCTTACAATCAAAAGATAGTATAGAGAGGAATATTTTTATTAATTTTTTTCCTCATTTTTGTTGAGCCTGCAGTTAACAGCAAAAGTAGGCGAGACACTGGGTTCCGCGGAACCCTTACGAATTTTTAAGTTTTACCTTTGTCTGTCTGTACGTCCATCCGTCCCTATGTCCCGAAATTGGTTTCCCTTCTCTAACTTTAGTTTGCCTCAACAGAATATTATGAAACTTATACACAATGCTTACTTCCACAAAATACACATCAAGTTTGAATTTGGGTGGCGTCACTTTTACTTTTGTAGAGTTATGACCCTTTACAAATGGAAAAATTGCTGAATTTTTTCGTTTCCGTTCTCTAACTTAAGTTTGCCTCAACCAAATGTTATGAATCTTATATCCACAATGCTTATTACCACAAAAAACAGATCACATTTGATTTTATGGTGGCGTCACTCTTAACGTTCTAGAGTTATGCCCCTTTACAAATGGAAAAATTGCTGAATTTTTCGTTTCCGTTCTCTAACTTAAGTTTGCCTCATCCAAATGATATGAAACTTATACACAATGCAAGCGGGGGCATCATCTGTGTCCCATGGACACATTCTCCATTTATTTTAGAATTTTTGCCTATTATCTTGACAATTATAAAAGATAGACAGAAACTTTTAAGAATAAAAATGTTCAGCAAGACAAGATCTACAAATTAGTCAACATGGCCAAAATCTTCCGTCGACTGCTTATTAGAGTTATTGCCCTATAATGATGATTTTTACCAATTTTTTGCGTTTAATATGCCTCATGTCTTAAAAATTATATCAGATAGACAGAAACGTTAAATAGCAAAAAATGATCAGCAAGACAAGATCTACAAATAAGTCATATGACCGAAATTGTTAGTCAACTCCTTATTGAAGTTATTGCCCTTTAATGATGATTTTTCCCATTTTTGCCTACTATCTTGAAAACTGTAATACATAGATCATAGGTAAAAACTGTAAAAAGCATTTATGATCAGCAAGACAAGATCCACAATTAAAGCATAATCAGTCGACTAGTTATTAGAGTTATTGCCCTTTAATGATAATTTTTAACATTTTTTTGCATTTTTTGCCCATTATCTTTAAAACTATAATAGATACGGGGTAAATAGAAACTTTAATACGAATAATTATCAGCAGGATGAGATCTACAAATATGTCAACATGACTGAAATTATCAGTTAACTCTTTATAGAGTTATTCCCCTTTTATGATAATTTGTACTTGAAAGTGACCATTGTTGAAGATGCAGGTGAGCGACACAGGCTCTAAACTCTAGTTATTTTGTACAACCATGCATTAAATTTTGATTAATTGTTTCTTATTATCTTTAAACCATCAAACATGTTCCAAAAAGTAGGCATGCACATCCTTTATTGCACTAAAATACTTGCCTAATTATTTTTGCTTTTCTAAGAGGGTTTCAGTGGGTGGAGCATCTGTTTAATTTGACAAATTTTAACTGTTTGAATTAGCTTGAAATCAGTCTCTAGAACTTTTATTCTTGTACGTACTTATAAAAATCATTTAAATGGTTTCCCAACTTAACTATAGTTCTTTTAGTTTTGAAATAAAATTTACAAGTACAAAATGTTTGTTAGTAGTTTTAAAGTATTATTTGACCTTTTTGCTATTAGTTTCCTTTTGACTCTTGCAGGAAGTTGAACAAGATGTCAGAAAAATTCGTAACATTGGAATCTCGGCTCATATTGACTCTGGTAAAACAACATTAACAGAGAGATTATTATTTTACTCAGGAAAACTTGCTGAAATGCATGAGGTAACTAGTATCATTAGAGAGATGTAAAAACTTCATTCAAAATTGGATGAGATGAATGTTGACCAAATACACAAGTTTGAAAAAGCCGTTGTAGTTCTTTATTCTTGCTTTAACTAAAGGTATGATAGATCTTTTTTAATGAACATGACTGAAAATAATTCAAAATTTATCTTAGATTAGAATTGTATTCCTGTTACATGTTTAATTTTTTTAAAGTTAACATTTACCAAATCAGGCTATACATACATGTAGATGTAAAATTGAGAATGGAAATGGAGAATATGTCAAAGAGACAACAACCTGGCCAAAAAGCAGATAACAGCCGAAAGGCCACCAATGGGTCTTCAACGCAGCGATAAAATCCCGCACCCGGAGGTGGTCCTCAGCTGGCCCCTAAATAAAAATGTGTACTAGTTCAGTGAAAATGGATGTCATACTAAACTCCAAAACATATAAATGAACTAAAATTAAAAACATACAAGACTAACAAAGGCCAGAGGCTCCTGACTTGGGACAGGTGCAAAAATGCGGCAGGTTAAACATGTTTTTTGAGATCTCAACCCTCCCCCTATACCTCTAGCCAATGTAGAATAAAGAAACACAAAGTGATACGCACAGTAAAACTCAGTTTAATGAAGTCCGAGACTGATGTCAGAATAGGTAACAAAAGAAACTAAGCAAAATGACAATGATACATAAATTAACAAAGGACTACTAGCAGTTACTGACATGCCAGCTCCAGACCTCAATTAAACTGATTGAAAGATTATGTCTTCATCATGTGAATCTTTCATTGAAGAAATGTGAACCTGCCATAGGTCATGAAGGTTTTCATTGATTGAAACTTTTCAACAGAACAATAAACACATTAGAAATTCTAGTTCCACTGTTGGAAAAAATAGGGAAAATATTATGGTCATAAGTTCAAGTAGGACTGCATAACTTGTTTGTAATCTTCTAGGATGTAAAGGTAATTGATATTTTGTTAAAACAAAAAATGATATTATTTTTAGGTTAGAGGTAAAGATAAAGTGGGAGCCAAGATGGATTTTATGGAATTGGAACGTCAGCGTGGTATCACTATCCAGTCAGCAGCTACATATGTCAGTTGGAAGGGGACAAATATAAATATAATTGACACTCCAGGACATGTAGATTTCACTGTAGAAGTAGAGCGAGCTTTACATGTGTTAGACGGTGCTATATTAGTATTATGTGCTGTGGGTGGCGTTCAGACACAAACAATGACAGTTAATAGACAAATGAAACGATACAATGTGCCATGCGTAGCATTTATTAATAAATTAGACAGAATGGGAGCTAATCCATATAGAGTTCTATCACAATTAAAGTGAGTAATACATTTCATGTGAAACAGGTAGCCTAAATGTATTTAGTCACAGGACAAAAAAATAAAATACCTAACTTAACAGGTTGTACTCCTGGGGATATATTTATTTTCTTTGGTTTTAATTTTCATAGTTGACAAAAAGATATAAATTTGGTGGGTATCTGATTTCTAGGTATCATCATTTACTATTATCAAAGTATCAAACAACATGTGTATCGGTATTTCATTGAATATTTAAATTGATTGTTTTTCCCTCCTCACAAAAATTAATGTCTCATGAATATTAAAGAATCCTTATTTAGTAAGAAGAAAAAAGTTGAGGAGTAGATATTTTTAGAAAAAAATCACATTTTCAATTTCATCTAGTGCTGAAAATTTAGAAATTTTTGTGGAAATTTGCAACAAGATAAGGATAACATTAATTCATGTATAAATTACAACCCATTTCAAATTCTCATTGCATATTTAGTTTACAGCATTTGCTTAATTACAGTGGACTTCTCACCTGTAAATTTTTTTCTTCTACTTTTTAATGAAAAACATTAGATCTGCCTGTTTATATCATCTTGTTAATTTCAAGCAGAGAAAGGTAACAAAGCATATCCTATTGCAAACATTTTTTAGCATTCATTCATAAATACACCATTTTCAACTAAATATCAAACTATTCTATCTTATTATTTATTTTCAGATCTAAATTAAACCATAATGCAGCATTATTACAGATACCAATTGGTATTGAATCAGATTGTGAAGGAATAATAGATCTCATTCATAGAAAAGCTTTATATTTTGAAGAACCACATGGGTAAGTTAAGAACATTTTAGTTTTAGAAGTACAATGTTTGACTGATATATCTGATTTTCAGAAACGCATAGATTTGTTGTGAATTTTTATGGTTACATTTTCTCTTCAATAAAGCTGCCAAGGTTTTTTTTGTGGTGTTTATATATTTCTCTAATTCTTAGCCTATTTATACTTTCCTTGAATAGTTGATTATCTTTTTATAATCACCATGTGGTTTCCTTGATATCGTTTGTTACATAGTCAAAATTCAATTATGACATCAAACTTTCTTACCTTCCTCTGATGTAGCAATGATTATATCACGTAGAAAAGACGACCATGCATAGTGAACACATCTTTTCTGAGAAAATTGAAAAAAGAAAGATAAAGTTTGCCCATATATCATTTTAAAATCATTAGAGAAATAGATGTTACTACCATATCTTGTGCAATACATTATTTCTATTTCTCCACACGACGGTAAACATTTTGATATTGAACTCTCACACGAGGAGAAATATTGTATCATACTCAATGAAATTGTAAAATCTATATTTGTTCCTCTTACAGAGCTTATTTATTTGTTTCATGACATTATTGATATTATAAACAAATTAAGGAATAATTTTGGATTTTATGTATATATTTTTCATTCATCTAGTTTGTTTATAGCTCCCTTAATTGGCTAACCAGTGTAAGTTTTCAATGCTGGCCTACTTATGTGTTACAATGTAATTAAAACTGTACACAAAAAAGCTTATTCAACAATGATTTTAATTTATTTACATATTTTTAGCTTAACAATAAGGGAGGATGAAATTCCTTCAGAATTCCGGCAGGAAGCTGAAGATAGAAGACAAGAAATGATAGGTAAATATTGAAAGTTGGGTTCTGTACTGGAAGTACCTCTGACCTTTGTCTCAGCTGCTGTTGCTGAAAGCTAGATAAATGTATGATAATCTGAAGGGGTGATTTATTTCATAGATGGGTAACAATTTGAGAAGGACTAAACCAATCAATATTTTGTGAAATATGCCAGTTGTTTGTGACCTTATTTTCTTGGTTCAATGAATAAATAAAGTGATTGACTTTTCAGTTACTATGAGTAATGAGACAAACTATATCTTGTTTCACTGTTAGGTGCACATGTCCATCAGAGGTCACCTAACCCTTACCCCATTTTCTCCAGGCCTTGACTTATATTTTATTATGTATTGATTAGCATTATGTTTTAATGATTTAACGATTTAGGTGAACTATATTTGATTTATAGAATCATTTCTGTTAGGTGTACAATTTCATCTGAGTCATTCACTTCTCAAGTGCTCAGAGTAAATGTCTATTCAGTAACGGTAAGGTGTTCCTGTACATCTGACAGGGGTCACCTAACATTGACTACATTTTCTTGATTCATTGATTCAAATTAAGTACAGTATGACCTTCATTACAAAAAAGTTGTCCAGTAAAAGTTAATAGTACAAGACAGATTATTCTGTGTTTCAAACTTTTGTTTTTAATCTTCTCATTTACACTGAAAAGAAAGACATTAACATTGAGAATATACACATTCTGGAATAGAGAGTCGTATACAATTGGTTTATTAAAAAGGAAACAACCAATATGGATGTGGGAATTTTTCAAAAATAAAAAAATCAATTCATATATTTAGATTCCTGCATAATATTACTTGACATAGTTTGACAGATAGGTTATAACATAAAAGATGAAATATTTATGAGGTATGTTGTGCAGATATTAAAATCAGTGAACAGAAATTCTGTGTTTCCTCTTTTGACACTTTCTACTTTCCACATCTCAATATTTATTTTAGAACATGTAGTAAATGTAGATGAACATTTGGCAGAAATATTTCTGGAAGAGAGACAACCAACTGAAGATGAGCTTCAGGTAAGTGGACTATCTATGCTGCCATTGCTAAGTGCTCAAGTTAAAAAAAATCCATAAAAGAATCTACAGGTCCACAAAAGACAAGTAACTATACAGTTTTTAAATTACCTTGAGTCTAGAAGAATTGAAAATGAATTTATATCAGAGATTACCAAATATCTGTCATAAATACCAAATTCACTGAAGTACAAAACAAGCACTTTTGTGTAAGGAATGATATCCAAATTTCTTCATGAATCCCTTCTTTTGAAAAAAATTATGATATAAACTTGATAAGAGTGTTTGATAATAAAAAACAAAATTCTGGTGTTTGCTAGATGTATTTGGGCATGACTTAAACAATTTTTGTGAATGAGGTTGTTCAAAACAAATAAGAATGACTCAAATTGTTGACTCAAAAAATCTAAATTGATCAATCACTTCATTTAACAAAATGAGTTTTTATAAAGTTAAGTAGAAATACAAGTACAAGGTCATAGAAAAAATATTATTTTATTTGGCCTTAGGTCATTTTCTTAGTAACAGTACATGATTTATCTACAATAATTAGTATATGAAATTGTTACAACAAGTTTATTATTGAAAACAAGGGGGTATGGTGTTCAAGTTAATGACACAAAATTCTTACCTGCACTTGAGAAAACTACATGCAAAGAAACAGCTCTTTTATATCTGTTCCTCATCACAAATTGACAATGAGGCAATAAAAATAATACAGTAATCCACACCAAGTTGTAAAAAGTTCATGATAGCCCCTAGCACCTGCCGAAGGGCATACAATACAGTAGCAAGGGCAGATAATAATGCATCAAAATCCTATCCTTCCACTTTTAAATTATTATTTTCTTCAATCAAACCTATAGAATTTGTGTGTAACTAAGATCATATTATCATTACATGTTTTTCTTATGAACGTTTTATGAATTGTCACTGCACATATTTCTTTTCACCAGAATATGTAGGAAAACACCAGTTATATCCTAATGATATCCCTTACTATATCTTTTATTATTTTGTAGGCTGCAGTAAGACGTGCATGTATAAAAAGAGATTTTACACCTGTACTTGTGGGGACAGCTTTGAAGAACAAAGGTGTACAGCCTGTGTTAGATGGTATTGTAAACTATTTACCTAACCCATCAGAAGTAAACAACTTTTGTTTGGATAACTCTAAAGGGTAAGGCTTTAAAAATCTGAGGAAAAAATTAATAAGAAAAGGTGTAACTTAAGTCAGAGGCAATTGAAATATTACAGATAGATATTTGAAGTTTGAAAAATCTTATAAACACCCAAGGAGACTTGAGGGAAAGAATAGTAAAAAGTTTTTTCTTAAGACAGAGGGAATTGAAATATTACAGGAGAATACCGTACCTAAAATGTTAAAATATTAACATTAGAAAGTATTTAAGATTGTCAGAACACAGACACTCTAATGTGATCCGATAAGGTTGGTCTAGTTCACAGAGGATAGAAAATCTTATCTGAATGTGAAATTATCCAGTCTTCCATTTGTTATTGTTTTTGGAGTCCTTTTCATTGCTGTTAAATGTTCAAATAAATTATACAATATTCAAATGGCATGCTGAGATATCTTTTTTGAATCAAATATTTGAAGAGGCAATTGGTTTTACTCAATTACAATTTTTAAATGGGTATGATGGGCATTCACCATGCTTTTCACAATATAACTTGAAATAATAAAAATATGTTTTGCTTGAAATCTTATTTTTCGACAAATTAAGCTATTAAACATTCCTGGTACAATATTGACTCTCAAGACAATAATTTGACTTCATTTAGATCCTTATATATGATTTTAACCTATGAAGATATCATGAGATACATTTAATATAGATAGATAGATAGATACTGGTAAACAAAGCATTCTATTGTGAAATCTAGATGATTGTTTAATAAAAAAAAAAGAGGAATTAAACAAATTAATTCATGACTCCAAATTCTTACTTACACTTGATGCAAACTAAAGTGAAGAAACAGTGGTTTTATTGCTTTTTGTCGAGCCTTCGACTTTAGTCGAAAAAGCGAGACATAGCGATCCTACATTCCGTCTGCGGCGTCCACAAATATTCACTCTGTGGTTAAAGTTTTTGAAATTTTAATAACTTTTTTAAACTATCCTGGATTTCTACCAAACTTGGACAGAAGCTTGTTTATGATCATAAGATAGTATCCAGAAGTAAATTTTGTAAAAATAAAATTCCATTTTTTCCGTATTTTACTTATAAATGGACTTAGTTTTTCTGCTGGGAAATATTACATTCACTCTGTGGTTAAAGTTTTTAAAATTTTAATAACTTTCTTAAACTATCCTGGGTTTCTACCAAACTTGGACAGAAGCTTGTTTATGATCATGAGATAGTATCCAGAAATAAATTTTGTAAAAAAAAAAATCCATTTTTTCCTTATTTTACTTTTAAATGGACTTGATTTTCTGCCAGGAAACAACACATTCACTCTGTGGTTAAAGTTTTTAAAATTTTAATAACTTTCTTATACTATTTTGGATTTGTACCAAACTTGGACAGAAGCTTGTTTATGATCAAAAGCTAGTATCTAGAAGGAAATTTTGTAAAAAAATAAATCCATTTTTTCAGTATTTTACTTTTAAATGGACTTAGATTTTCTGCCAGGAAACAACACATTCACTCTGTGGTTAAAGTTTTTAAAATTTTAATAACTTTCTTGTACTATTTTGGATTTGTACAAAACTTGGACAGAAGCTTGTTTATGATCAAATGCTAGTATCTAGAAGGAAATTTTGTTTTCTTCCAGTTAACATTACATTCAGTCTGCAGTTAAAGTTTTTAAACATTTATTAGACTCATAAACTATCCTGGATTTTTACCAAACTTGGACAGAAGCTTACAATCAAAAGATAGTATCAAGAGGAATATTTTTATTGATTTACTTCCTCATTTTTGTTGAGCCTGCGATTAACAGAAAAAGTAGGCGAGACACTGGGTTACGTGGAACCCTTACAAATTTTTAATAGTTTACAAATCAGTATTTTATGTTTTTACAACTTTATACAAAACTGAGAATTTATAAAAATTATTTTTGACATGCAGTATGTTGTTGAAAACATCTAATCTTGTGCTAATAGATGTACTTAAGAAATAGGCTAGATTTATTTACCAATATATTATCACGTGATTAACCAGTGGGAGATAATTATGCATTTCAACCTGTCTTTGAATGAATGAATGAATACTTTATTTGCAAGAACCATATAATGCTATGACAAAAAAAAGATATATACAATACATGAGAGTAACAGAATATACAAATATATTATGACAATTAGAACAGATATCCCATTTTTAGCTCACCTGGCCCGAAGTGCCAAGTGAGCTTTTCTGTTAACGTTTACAAAAATCTTCTCCTCTGAAACTACTGGGCCAAATTTAACAAAACTTGGCCACAATCATCATTGGGGTATTTAGTTTTAAAAATGTGTCTGATGACCTTGCCTGCCAACCAAGATGGCCGACATGGTTAAAAATAGAACATAGGGGTAAAATGCAAGTTTTGTCTTTTATTTTGAAAACCGTTATAGATAGAGAAAATCTGACAAGAGCAGATATATGTTCAGAATGTTGAGCTCTATCAATTGTTCATATAGGTCAAAACTGTCAGACAACTTCTTATAGGAGTTGTTGCCCTTAAATGACAAATTTTACGTTTTTTTTCCATTTTTGCATATCATCTTGAAAACTATAATAGATAGAGAGAAACTTTATATTGCAAAAATGATCAGCAAGACAAGATCTAAATCAGAATTGCCAGTTGACTCCTTATTAGAGTTATTACCCTTTGATGACAATTTTTACCATTTTTTTGAATTTTTGCCTTATATCTTAAAAATTATAAAAGATAGATAGAAATTTAAAAAAGCAAAAAAATATAGCAAGACAAGATCTACAATTAAGACAATATGGAGGAAATTGTCCGAGGACTCCTTATTGGAGTTATTGCCCTTTAATGACAAGTTTTACCATTTTTTTTGCATTTTGCCTTATATGATAAAAATTATAATAGATAAATAGACACTTTAAATCACAAAAATGATCAGCAAGGCAAGATCTACTATGTCAAATTTTGCCGATATAGTTAGTAGACGGTCACTCTTTTATAGGAGTGATTGCCCTGAAGTAAGGATTTTTTTTTACCCTCTTTTGTGTTTTGAGCAAAAAACTAAAGAAGATAGAGAGAAACTAAACAGACTAAATGACCAGCAATACTATATCAACAAAACAGAGATTTTTGTCATGAATTCTATTCTTGTCTACAATGTTGGAGAGTGTCCTTTGTTGAATATGCACATGGACAAGGTGAGCAACACAGGCTCTTTAGAGCCTCTAGTTGTATTTCCTGAAAAAGGTTAAAATCGAAAAGAAATTTTGCAAATTGTGATTTAAAAGTAGCATGGTTTTATAGAAATAAGGTAAGTCTTGAAAAATTATGAATCTAAACACGTTCATCTGGCACAAAGTGTTTACAGAAATATAAAGTTGAACCAGAATAGAAAAAAGAACAAATAGAATAGAGTATTTGATGCTTATCATTTTTTTTATATTGTAGAATAGAAAATCCTGAGAAGGTATTGATGAACCCAGACAGGAACCAGGACAAACCGTTTATTGGTTTAGCATTTAAACTTGAAGTAAGATTCAATATAATGAAGAACAATATAAAACGGCTGGTTGCATTTAAGTTTTGTTTATCATGAATGTCTTAGCCAATGTTTAAATCTTTTTGTACCCTTGCTACAATAGTTTTCCATATGGTTTTCTGGTTTGGTTCAGTCTACCCATTTGTTTGTCATTCCCTTATCAGGTTAAAGTTTTGGTTTTATGCAATTTACCATGAGGTTTCGGTTACTTAGTGCACATGTTTATCATGATGTAAACTTTTTTTAAATTTGCAAAATTTTGGTTATTGACTCCGTTTTCTTGGTTCAATAAACATGGAAATGTGATAGTTTGAGCAGGGTTAGATGTCCTATGGACACATATTCCAGTTGAAATATACATTGTCGAAAAAAAAACAGTATTTCATCTCTTTTAAATCAAATTACCCTTTATCTAAATAGCATCATCAGTTCAGAAGGAGTTGGTTTTACAGAAAGATTTTTTAGGGTATTTATTTTCAGCTGGAAAGTTGACCAGTTGACATATATAAGATTTATTGTAGACTGGAAAGTCTGGCCAGTTGACATTTATGGACTATATTTTATGGTGGGAAGTGACCAGTTGACAAATATGAAATTTATTTAAGCTGGAAAGTATATACAGTTGACATACATGGGATTTGCTAGAGAGTATGGCCAGTTGACATATGAGATTTATTTTAGGCTGGAAAGTATGGACAGTTGACATATATTAGATTTGCTAGAAAGTATGGCCAGTTGCCATATGAGATTTATTTTAGGCTGGAAAGTCTGGCCTGTTGACATATGAGATTTATTGTAGACTGGAAACCTGGCCAGAGGTCATATAACTGTATAGCGAGTTTTTCGCAGGTGTAAAATTTCGCGATTTAGGAGCAACAAAGTATACGAAAAAATTTTGGCAGAGTCTTACATCCCAATTAAATATTTTGGTGGATACTGAAATGGTTGTAGTTCAAAAGTTGTAAAAATTGACAAACAAGTGTCTATTGGTATGGTCAACTGATTGTTTTGCCTGCATGATGTTCTATTTATTGATTATATTTTGATACAGTTAATCAATAGAATACCGGTAACTTAGATATATGTCACAGGTGTACAAACTTCTTGTAAATGTTAAGATTGATTAGTTACGAAATTGACCGGACCTTTGATGTACTAATTAGGTTATAAAATAATTAAGAGTGACTTGCAACTCTAATATAATTTGACACTAATTAATAAACGTAAATACCTGACAGAGTACCTTATGCCGTTATTGACCCGCCGACCCGAAAAAGATCGTTTAGCTGTTAGAAAGTACCGTATGTATGCATAAATTTTCACGGAATTTATTTTCGCACTTTTCTATTATCCGCTAAAATAATCGAAAATAATCCAATATACAGTATATGAGATTAATTGTAGACTGGAAAATCTTGCCAGTTGACATATGAGGTTTATTTTGGGCTGGAAAATGGCTTGTTGACCAAGGGTCCGGAAACGGTCATATTTGCCAGTCATGTCCTAAACTGAAAGCTATATGTCCTAAACGAGTAATTGGCATTTAGGACAAATTATATTTTTTTACAGAAATAATTTCGGTCATTTCATTGACTCAATGTTTGAAATCGGATTTCTGAATCCCCATTTTGCACTTGTGATCACTTGTTTTTGTTAATAATCCCTTTCCTGTAATAAAACTGCCACTCCAGTATAGTTTGATAATCCTGAGGGCCCTCCTAATAACTATATCAATGCCTCCGGGAACATTGGCTAATGACCTCTAATTACTTTTTACCTGTGTTTTTTATTCACACCTGACATTGATCACAAGCTCAGAATAATATCTTAAAGAAATTAAAATTCCCTGACAAGTGTATTCATTATTTAATTACTTTTCAGCAAAGACAATCATTAATTCTGATTTAAAAATTAAACCTTGATTTAGTTTATGAAGAAAAAAGCGTTTTTTTCACGGGTAACACATGTGCTTTATTTACTATGTAATACGCATGCGTGAAATTGTCTTAAGCAAATTAATCATTTAATCGTAACATGTAAATTGCTTTCATGCTAAAGTAAATGAGTGCAACTATTATCTGTTATATTCAAACACTTTTAAAGGTAATAAAATTAAAAATCCGGTGATTTCCTGTCAATTTGATAAACAAAACGAATCCCGGAAATGAATCCGAAATCATCCGTACTTTAATATTATCGCAAAACTTCCGGTTTTAATTTCGTCAAATCAAAAGAAACGATAGCAATGTCTGTGAAATTAACCATTTTGAGTCATTAAAATCATTTCAATTTTAAACTGTTGCCTTCCCTAAACTGTTCTTGAAGGTTTTAGAAAAATGGTAAGAAATTAACTTAGTAAATGCGATGAAACAGCAATTCAAGTTTGTTGATGCTATGAATCTAGTTTGACATCGACAATTTGAAAAGAGGCGCCAACTTTTCAATCATCTCAAAATGACCGTAATTGTGTGAAAAAATTTCCGGATCCTTGTTGTTGACATATGAGATTTATTTTAGGCTGGAAAATGGCTTGTCATATAATATGAGATTTATTTTAGGCTGGAAAGTATGGACAGTTGACATATATGAGATGTTATCAAGGTGGAATCAAGAAAGGCAGTGATGTCATTATTAACGCACGAACAAATAAAAAGACAAAAGTTTCCCGCTTAGTCAGAATGAACGCAGATGAGATGGAGGTTAGTGAAATTTCTTGTTCAAAGAATCTTCTCATAAAGAGTTTTTCCCTTCTTTTAATTATTAAAGTCAATATCTGTTTTAAAGCTCAAATTCACTATAAATATACGGGGTACATGGCAGATTAAACAATCTCATTTTATATTTATAATTTATGTCTGAGCATGTTTAAACTATACAATGTTTGTTTTAGGATATAACTGAGGCCTATGCAGGAGATATTGTAGCTTTATTTGGTGTAGAATGTGCTGGAGGTGACACATTTGTATCAAAAGGAACTTCTAACCTTTCACTGGTAAGCTAACTTAATTTTAATTTCTTATAATTGTGTGTGTGTTTTAAATGTGTAAAATATATGTATCATGTAAATGGTTTGTTTGCTCAACTCTAACATTTTTAGAAGTTCCATGACTTTTGGTTTGTTTCATTTTAAGGGTCAGGATCAGATATGTTACTGGAAAACACATAGAATTAAAAGAACAATGATCAGTGAAGAAATATAGTGCCTTTTCTGTATTAAAACAGACCTCAATCTTTGGAGAAGTACTGTTCATCTGGTATGACGAAATAAAGTACTTTTGTAACATAATAATATTTGTGATTACAGGAATTTTAACATGATTATATTTGTGATTACAGGAATTGTAACATGATTATGATTGTGATTTCTGAAATTTTAACATGATCATGATTGTGATTACAGGATTTTTAACTTGATTATGTTTGTGATTACAGGAATCTATGTTTGTACCTGATCCAGTTATTTCAATGTCCATAAAACCAGTTAACAGTAAAGATATAGAGAACTTTTCCAAAGGTATTAATAGATTTAGTAGAGAAGACCCTACATATCATGTGTACTGGGATGATGAGGCCAAGGAAACTATTTGTTCTGGTATGGGAGAGCTTCACCTGGATATTTATGCACAGGTAAGGAAATTCAGATCACACAGCCTTTAACTTTCAGTAGGTTTTACAATAAGTGATAGCTATTTTTAGTATAAGAACAAGTAGAGGGATGACTATGACTTTGTACCAATGGTTCAGAATTTATTTCACATGTCTTAAATCTATAGCTTGAAATTTGTGTTTCTTATAGAAGTTTCCCCGGGAGGTTAAAAACAAGTTCTATAACAGTTATGCAATATTCTGTTTAAAGTATACAAAAGTCAATCCACTAATAAAAACATTGTTTCTTTGCTTTAAGTGAATGCAAGGATTTTAAAACATAAAAAAATTTAACTTACGCCTTTTTCCATCAAATTTAAAATCATTACAATTTTTGAACTCCAAACACACAAGATGTTTTTTAATAAAAGACTTTTTTGTACTTTCATTTTAAAAGTATTTCCGTAATTACCTTATTAAGGAACAAATTTGTCATGTCATGCTCTATGCTCATTTTAACATGGTAGGCATTATATTTATTAATATATTAACGCTGATATTTAATGCCTACTTATACCTTGACCTTCAGGACCCAGAGATGCTTTTAGGTGGATAAGATTGTAATTTTTTGTGTTCTTGAGTATTTTTATGCCCCACCTATGATAGAAGAGGGGCATTATGTTTTTCGGTCTGTGCATCCATTCGTTCGTTTGTTTGTTTGTACGTTCTTTCGTTCGTCCGTCTGTCCGTTCGTCAATCTGTCCCGCTTCAGGTTAAAGTTTTTGGTCAAGGTAGTTTTTGATGAAGTTGAAGTCCAATCAACTTGAAACTTAGTACACGTGTTCCCTATGATATGATCTTTCTAATTTTAATGCCAAATAAGAGTTTTGACCCCAATTTCATGGTCCACTGAACATAGAAAATGATAGTGCGAGTGGGGCATCCGTGTACTATGGACATAATCTTGTTTAAATAGTTTTAGTATTTTTGTGACTATTTGTAGAGATTAGAAAGAGAATATAATTGTAAAGTGGCACTTGGAAAACCAAAAGTAGCATTTAGAGAATCTGTAGTAGAGAAAATGGCGTAAGTAGATAAACTTATTTCAATAGTTTTGGTGAACTTTAAAGGTATAAGATTCATAAATAAGATTAAGAATCTTGAGTAGAACATGGAAAAATTTTATTCTTAGAGATTTAAAGTTATTTATAATTTAAAAGGTTGGATCAGATTCCATTGTCTCTTGTTTCCATGTGATAGTATTAACTTCATGCAACAAACAGGAAAATCTAGATTCTAATACTGAATAGAAAATAACCTATTCCTAATTGAAATTAATATGTCATCTGAAGGGGAAAGTTCAACATGTATAATTTGATTTATTCACCTGGCCTAGTCCAATCTAACCATATAGAGAAAGCTTTAGGTACTACTACGGGATGTTACACAACATTGACTACCCATGAGGGTCTCACACAGTCTGTGAAGCTTAAGGGAACATTTTGAAAGTATTCTGATTTATTTGTTTATTTATCTAATATAGAAATATTATTCTTTTCTACATACTTACGTTTTATCATAAAACATTATTATTTAGAAAACTTGTTTCAGATTTATGGTAAATTAAGAACTTTGTTGTTTGTGTGAACACCTTGACATTTAAGTATAATATAGACCAGGTGGTCATCTCCCAAACAGTGAACATACCATTATCTGGTATTAAGCCCAAAGAGACATGAATTATTGGTTTTATTATACATGAATTATTTGTTAAATAAAATAATTTTTCAGTTTTGATTACCAACATAAGAAGCAATCAGGAGGAAGAGGGGAGTATGGTAGAGTTATAGGTTTTATGGAGGTAATTATTGTACTAGTAGAGTTATTGGTTCTATGGAGGTAATTATTGTACTGGTAGAGTTATTGGTTTTATTGAGCTGAAAGAGTTATTGGTTCTATGGAGGTAATTTTTGTACTGAAAGAGTTAAAATGTGATAGAGATAGAGATTTCAGCAACTTTCGAAACACCTCTAATTAATCGTCTGTTTTACCAATCTTTCAAAGTATGTAACAAAAGGTAGTTTCAAATTATGAAAAGATGCCAGCTACGAAAGCCGGCAGCTCAGGATGTTCAGGACTTGCATTGTGGCCCTCACCAGTGATACAACTGAAAAATACTGAGAAATGGTTAATACTACTGATAGACTTAAATAGGGGTAAACACCTCTGTTGTAGAGTTATAGGTTGATTAATGTATTAGTAGAGATATTGGTTTTATGGAGATCAGCTAGTCTGAGATACACATGAAGAAATACAGACAGCTTACCACCAAAACATGTTCTATTTGTTAAAAATTAGAAAATTTGATGTGTATCCATAGCATTCTTGTCAAACTTTATAATCTATGGTGAGGTTCATGCAGTTTCCAAAGATATGTCAGACTAACCCTAAAATGGTTTTGCTCTCCTAGTGCGTCTTGATTTCTTATTTTAAAAGTGATATTTTTTTCAGCCCTTACCACCAGAGGCAAACACGAAACTAGAATTTTTAGACAAGACAGTGGGAACAAATGTTCCAAAGAATTTTATTTCCTCAATAAAACGGGTATGTATTTATATTCAATGTAATGTCAAATGAGAAAGATGCACATCAAATTTAAATGTGAGCAAAATCCTTATCCAAATAGGTATTTTAATCTAGTCCACATTTTTGTATATTAAGACATTCTGTGTTGAAATATCCTTGGTTTTTTTTCACATCTAAATATTTATAGAAACATTTCAGAATGAGTCAAATTTGTATAAGTTGCAGGTTTTCCTTAGATGTATGAAGTTTCAAGTTCTAAAGTGAATACTGTAAATTCTGAAATTATTGGGAGGTTTTTAGTAATGAGAATTATGCATTCTCATATCTGATACATATAGCTGTATACAGATTTTCCTGCAATCGCAATAATTAATCTAGCATTTTTGTCCATTCTTCAAAAATCACAATCATAGATGCATGCAATAATTTCTAAAGTATATAGTTTTTGATTTCTTACATAAGAATGTCTTTTGAACATTTTAGGGATGTTTTTTGACAGAATTATGATTTTGATGTTCAAATACAACATGCCAAAAAAATGCCATTTGATATCTTCTCACTTTACTTGAAACAAAAATGGTTTTTTTTATTTGTAGGGTTTCCTTAGAGCTTGTGAGAAAGGCTATTTGACAGGAAATAAAGTGGCTGGTGTAAAGTTTACCTTAGTGGATGGTAAGTCATTTCTTATCAGTTTACAATTCAATGTTGTATCGAAAGACTTCAGAAATCTTCCTCTAGTCAAACACTATCATAAAATCTGCTATTATAATTGTTTACTCTACATTACAGGTGCTCATCATCAGAAATTTTATCCAAGTTGTGTACAGTTTCCTATCATACAATATTTTACAATTATGAATTTTACATAACATATAATGTTATCCCAGATGTGATTTTTACAATATTTTACGATACAGGTTTTCTCTTAAATGGGTGTAGTTATTTTTATTCTGAACTAAGTTTACAACATGATACTCTTGGGTAGATGTAGTGCTCCACTACATACAAGAAACTGAACTGAATTTAACTGGTTCCTATATTACAATATTAAAACAATTGTGTACTTTACACTACTGTAAATTCAGAAATTATTGCGAGGTTTTTATTAATGCGAATAATGCGACTGGGTGAGTATCGCAATAATAAAAACTCGCATTTTGATAACTGAAACATAGATCTGTTTGTAGATTTTTCTGAAATCGCAATAATTTAAATCGCATTCTTGTGCATTTTTGAAAAATCGCAAAAATAAATGCACGCAATAATTTCTGAATTTACAGTATATACAATGTTATCACAAGTTTGTGCTTTACCATGCCGCTGCCTATCACAATATTAAATATTTGTGTACTTAAAAATATATACAACAGAGGTGAAAGATACCAAAGAGATAATCAAACTCATAGGTCGAAAACAAACTGAAAGTGCATTGGCAAATAAAAGAAAAATGACCAAAAGACAACAATCATTATCTGTAGTCATCTGTGAAACAGATATTCCATAACTATCAACCAACTATTGAACAGGTCCTTAAAATACAATGGTACCTATCAGCAATCAATGTAATCACTGCTGTGTACTTAACATACAATAATATCACAGTTGTGTACTTTACATTACATACCAAGGTATCAATCATTAAACAATGTAATCACTGCTGTGTACTTTACATTATATACAAAGGTATCAATCATTAGACAATGTAATCACTGTTGTGTACTTTACATTACATACAAAGGTACCAATCATTAGACAATGTAATCACTGCTGTGTACTTTACATTACATACAAAGGTACCAATCATTAGACAATGTAATCACTGTTGTGTACTTTACATTACATACCAAGGTACCAATCATTAGACAATGTAATCACTGCTGTGTACTTTACATTACATACCAAGGTACCAATCATTAGACAATGTAATCACTGTTGTGTACTTTACATTATATACAAAGGTATCAATCATTAGACAATGTAATCACTGTTGTGTACTTTACATTACATACCAAGGTACCAATCATTAGACAATGTAATCACTGTTGTGTACTTAACATTACATACCAAGGTATCAATCATTAGACAATGTTATCACTGTTGTGTACTTTACATTACATACAAAGGTACCAATCATTAGACAATGTAATCACTGTTGTGTACTTTACATTATATACAAAGGTATCAATCATTAGACAATGTAATCACTGCTGTGTACTTTACATTACATACCAAGGTACCAATCATTAGACAATGTAATCACTGTTGTGTACTTTACATTACATACCAAGGTACCAATCATTAGACAATGCAATCACTGTTGTGTACTTAACATTACATACCAAGGTATCAATCATTAGACAATGTTATCACTGTTGTGTACTTTACATTACATACAAAGGTATCAAACATTAGACAATGTAATCACTGCTGTGTACTTTACATTGCATACAAAGGTACCAATCATTAGACAATGTAATCACTGTTGTGTACTTTACATTACATACCAAGGTACCAATCATTAGACAATGTAATCACTGCTGTGTACTTTACATTACATACCAAGGTACCAATCATTAGACAATGTAATCACTGTTGTGTACTTTACATTATATACAAAGGTATCAATCATTAGACAATGTAATCACTGTTGTGTACTTTACATTACATACCAAGGTACCAATCATTAGACAATGTAATCACTGTTGTGTACTTAACATTACATACCAAGGTATCAATCATTAGACAATGTTATCACTGTTGTGTACTTTACATTACATACAAAGGTACCAATCATTAGACAATGTAATCACTGTTGTGTACTTTACATTATATACAAAGGTATCAATCATTAGACAATGTAATCACTGCTGTGTACTTTACATTACATACCAAGGTACCAATCATTAGACAATGTAATCACTGTTGTGTACTTTACATTACATACCAAGGTACCAATCATTAGACAATGCAATCACTGTTGTGTACTTAACATTACATACCAAGGTATCAATCATTAGACAATGTTATCACTGTTGTGTACTTTACATTACATACAAAGGTATCAAACATTAGACAATGTTATCACTGTTGTGTACTTTACATTACATACAAAGGTATCAATCCTTAGACAATGTAATCACATTTTTGTACTTTTAATTTTAGGAGCCCATCACATAGTGGATTCCAGTGACTGGTCCTTTGAACAAGCTGCATATTATGCTACTCAGGAATGTAAGTACACGATATATAACTATTTCAGCCTTGATCTCCCTTTTTCATATTGCAGGTGGTTTTTTTTTAAATATGTGAAACCAACTTATAAAGATGCTAGTCTTTATTAGGCTAATCAAACAGTAGTCTTTCATTGTATATTTTCTGATCTTGTGTGTTCGTATGTCCAGTATCAGATAAACGTTTTGGATTAAGGTACTTTACTATGAAGATGTGGTCACATAAACTTGAAAGATAGTACACATATTAATTATGAACTTTTTATACGACCACAAAATTTTTTGCGGTCGTATATTGGTATGACGTTGGTGTCATCGTCTTTGTCGTTGTTGTCCGGAGTTGTCGTCGTCGTCCGAAGACACATTGGTTTTCGCACTATAACTTTAGTTTAAGTGAATGGATCTCTATGAAATTTTACCATAAGGTTAAATACCACAAAAGGAAGGTTGGGATTGATTTTGGGGGTTATGATACCAACAGTTAGGAATTAGGGGCCAAAAAGGGGCCAAAAATAAGCATTTTCTAGTTTCCAGACAATAACTTGTGGAATGGTGTATGGATCTCTCTGAAATTATACCACAAGTTTCCATACCACAAAGGGATGGTTAGGATTTGCTTTGGGGGGTTATGGCTCAAACCGTTTAGGAATTAGGGGCAAAAAAAGGGGGAAAACAAGGTTGTCCTGGTTAATGGACAAATACTTTAGTACAAAACATAATTTAAAGCAGTGTAAGGGAGATAAATCAAATATATCATTTGAATTACCTCCCTTACACTGCTTTTATTATGTATAAAGTAATGGTTAATGAACAATTAAGACAATTTAAAACGGTGTAAAGGAGGTAATCCAAATACAACGTTTTGATTACTTCCCTTACACTGCTTTTAAATTATGTTTAAAGAAATGCATATTTATAAAGGAAGACCAGTAAAAATATCTGCAAATGTTGCATATTTTTTTTTTTACCAAAAAAATCCATATGAAAGATTTGACACCATATTTTAAATTCTATTATAAAATAGATTATGTTAGCACTATGGTAAATTTAATTGGGTAATTATGGTTGCAAACTCCATAGGAAATTTGAATTGAGATTATGACCATATCTGGAGGGAAAGAATTTTTTGGGGGAAAAAGAGGGGGGGGGGGGGGTAAAGAGAAATTGTGGGGGGTCAATTTTTTCTCATTTCAGATTTCAGAAATTAAAAAGAATTATTCTTCAAAAATTTTTTGTTTTCTCAAAATTTCAAGAAGTAATCTTTAATTGCACAGTATGGCACATTAGATTTGTAAAATCTTTGACCACATTTATTTATTTGTTATGCCGAATCTGACCGTGTATTTAGATTTTTAATTTTGGGTCCAGTTTTCAAATTGGTCTACATTAAGGTCCAAAGGGTCCAAAATTAAACTTAGTTTGATTTTAACAAAAATTGAATATATGGGGTTCTTTGATATGCTGAATTTAAACATGTATTTAGATTTTTGATTTTGGGCCCAGTTTTCAAGTTGGTCCAAATTGGGGTCCAAAATTACAGTTTGTTTGATTTCAACAAAAATTGAATATATGGGGTTCTTTGATATGCTGAATCTAACCATGTATTTAGAATTTTTATTTGTGGGCCCCGCTATCAAATTGGTTCATATTGAGGTCAAAAGGGTCTAAAATTAAAATTTGTTTGATTTCATCAAAAATTGAATTATTGGGGTTCTTTGATATGCCAAATCTAACCGTGTATTTAAATTTTTAATTTTGGGTCCTGTTTTTTTAAATTGGTCTACATTAAGGTCCAAAGGGTCCAAAATTAAACTTTTAACAAAAATTGAATTCTTGGGGTTCTTTGATATGTTGAATCTAAACATGTGTTTAGATTTTTGATTATGGGCCCAGTTTTCAAGTTGGTCCAAGTTGGGGTCCAAAATTAAACTTTGTTTGATTTCAACAATAATTGAATATATGCGGTTCTTTGATATGCTGAATCTAACCATGTATTTTGATTTTTGGGCCCCATTATCGAATTGGTCCACATTGAGGTCAAAAGGGTCCAAAATTCAACTTTGTTTGATTTCATCAAAAATTTAGTTCTTTGGATTCTTTGATATGCTGAATCTAACCATGTATTTAGATTTTAGATATTGGACCATAATAGGTAAATTAAAAAATGTTAAGTTCTTAGACAACATTCATTCTGTGTCAGAAACCTTTGCTGTGTCAAATATTTAATCACAATCCAAATTCAGAGCTGTATCAAGCTTGAATGTTGTGTCCATACTTGCCCCAACTGTTCAGGGTTCGACCTCTGCGGTCGTATCAAGCTGTGCCCAGCAGAGAATTTTATTATTGTTATAAGTCAAATTATGTTTTTGACCCAAATTACACAGTTCAATGAACATAGACATATGTTAGCTGGAAATCATTACATTCTCAGGCTGAAGGTCTTGGTTACAGGAGTTTACCATGGAGCATTGCTCACATCAACAGCAAACTTCATACACAATTGTCATGTTCATTGCATGGTGAACTTTAAAAATTATGTGACATGTTGCAAATTTGACCTAGATTTCACCTTTCACTGAACATGGACATAAGATAGTACAAGCAGGACATGATATCCTATTGACCCATATTCTTGTTAGAAACCTGTGACATTCAAATATTCTGAAAACTTTTTCAGAAAAAATGAGCCAGAGCATTGTTCATAGTGTTTTTATTTTTTACTTTTCAAGCCTTAAAAAAAATGGTATACTTATCACGGTTTACATTTTATAATTCCTGTGGTAGAATAAGAAAATTGTCTTTTTTTGTACATTACTACTTATTCTAAGTTTAGTTCCGTATCAAGAGTACTGGCATTACTAGGAAGATCTAGGCACATTTACAAGAATATTGTAAACTTATTGAAAACACTGATTCAGTCCTGTGTATCATTTATTATAGGTTTTACTGAAGGTGTTTGGAATGTTCTAGAACCAGTTATGTTAGTAGAGGTCAACTGTCCAGCAGAATACCAAGGAACAACCATGCAGTGTATCACCAAGAGGAATGGTGTTATCATTGGAACAGATGCTAACGAAGGATACTTTACTCTGTATTGTGAGGTAATATGTGCTTAGTTGAATTTTTACTCTGTATTGTGAGGTAATATCTGATTAGTTTAATTTTTACTCTCTATTGTGAAGAAAGATGTGCTGAGTTGTATGTTTACTTTAGCCATGGTTGAATGAATAAAGTTAGAGTTTTTATTCTCTCATTTGCCAATATTTGATAATTTTTTATGAAAACAAGTAAATTAAACCAACGTTGAGTATAATAAGTTTGAAAGCGACCCATTAAAGAATTATATAATGATGAGCCTCATTTTCAATGTTAAATAACTCAAAATTTACATAATCTAAGGATCAGTAACAATAAGCTGTATTTTGCTGTTATCTATTTTTACTTTTGTTGATCCAAATTAAGGATCAGGTTTCTGCTATATATATCTCTCAATAAGATAGGGTTTTTTGTTTAGCATAATTAATGTCATAGTTAGAAGTTGATTAGTCACATGAATGCATCTGAGTCAGATAGATAGGTTGTAGTCAGTGAACAGTTAAATACTACATTGTAAGTATACACCACACAATATTCCAAACAAAATTAACCATTCCAATATATCTTGTTAGTCACTTAACTTTTTGTATCATTTAGGATATTTTTTTAACAAGTAATATTTGGAATTGTTGGTGTAGCATTGTCTTGATATTATGTTGAAACTATAGAACAGTAAAATGTCACTGTTCAGTGTTTTGACCATGTTGATAATTTTGAACCATTTGATTCCAGACCTTGATACATGTAAAATAGACAATAGCTACCAAGCTACTTTGCCAGTTTAACCCTTTCGAAATTTTTGGTGTAGAGTTGTTGAACTTAAATCAGGCTGCTGGTTTTCTTGTTAAAATTGTCATGTGGGGTATTTTAATAGTTTCTTTACGGTATGGCTTTTGCTCATTATTGAAGTTCTTACAGTAACATATGGTTGCTTACATTCACTTTCTGTGGTCTGTGGTGCATAGTTGTCTCATTGACAATCTTACATCTTATTTTCATATAAATTCATCAAAAACAGATCTGTTCAACATCATATATGATACTCTAAGTAAGCTTTAATAAAATCTTGTGTAATGAAAAGATAAATGAGAACAAGATTCTTTCAATTATAAAGATTGTAGAGTTGTGGCTTTTAAATTTAATAAATTTGTAAATCTAATATGGGGTAGGAGAGGGTTTCATCCTGAATTCTAGTGAAAATAAATGCCAAATCACAAATTCCTCCGAAAATAATGTGTCCCTTCCTGCATCATGAAATGATTAGAATTCCTGAATTAACGCCATTTAAATGGCTCAAACCCAAATTCCTGAAAAAGATCCTTCCACCCTCTTTTAAGTCAATGAAATTTTTTACCCCCCATTTTGTACAAATCATAGGATATTACTGATTTTGTAGGATAACAGAAAGTTCTTTTTGATTTTGACAAAAGAGAAATACAAGACTTTATACAATAACTAAGTTTGCATTTACTAATTCACGACTGTATAAAATAATGACATGCTGTTGAGAATAATAAAGGTCCTTTCTTAGACTCAGGTATTATGTTGAACAAACTAGTGCATGTAGCTGAAATGAAAAAGACATTTTGCACAAATGGAACTTCTTATTTTTTTTCTATTCTAAAAAAGAATACTATGAAAGTACTTTTATTCGTGGGATAACAATTTTCATGGTTTTCGTGGATGGCTTTATCCACGAATTTAAGTGTCCAACAAAATATAACTGTTGTCGGTCCAAATCAGGACATGGAAAGATCCCCAATACCATAAGTTTTAACCTTTTAATTCTTCTGAACACAAAATAGTTTTGATCGATAAAAGACAGACTTCCGGTGATGATATGCGATGATGAAGTGTTCATGTTATATCCTCATAATTCTCATACGAAAATTGAATAATTTCATAAGAAATGCTTCTTCAAGTCAGAGTACATTTGGAGCTTTTTTTATGTACCGGTAACCGTTTTTTTAAGTGACATGTTTATGGCCCAATTAACACCTTCGGTGACCGTTAATCTGTTGATCAAACAATCTCCGGTTAATAAGTGTCATCACTTCTAATTACACATGTGCAATAATTAAAATGTTTACTTTACAATTTCCTTTTATCGAGACAATTTGTAAGAATAGATGAATCGGCTTAATTCAGAAAGCAATTAACTTATTAAAAGGTAGATGAATGTTATCAGTAATGAAAGACGAACAAGTAGGTGAAAATGAACACCATATTTTGCAATGTCCAAGAAATTATTATAAATCAACATAATATGATTATTTTCACATCTTTTCGTTTTAGATGGCTTCAAATTATTCATCCAATTTTTGTTCTTTCAAAAAACTAAAATCCACGAATTTAAGAACCCACGAACATGCAACTTTTGCTCAAACCACGAAAATTGATACCCACGAATAAAAATACTTTCACAGTAATAAGAATTTTGTTTTTATTTTTCAGGTTGCTTTGAATAAATAAAAGAATTAAATTTTGTTTATAATTTTTTAGGTTGCTTTGAATCAATAAAATAATACAATTTTTGTTTGTAATATTTAGGTTTCTTTGAATCAATAGAAGAATAATAATGTTGTTAATATTTTTCAGGTTGCTTTGAATGAAATGTTTGGATTTTCGACGGAGTTAAGATCAATGACTCAAGGAAAAGGAGAATTTGTGATGGAATTCAGTAAATATTGTCCTGCTACTCCAGCTACACAAGAAACACTTATACAAGATTATCAGGACAGTCTAGAAAAAACTAAAACTAAAAAGAAAAATTGATACACATTTATAATTAGAATCAAATAATTTTTAAATTAACTTGTTTGTTTGTACGATCAGTGATATGGACCATGTTCTGTTCTGAGGCAGTCATGGTGGTTTTTATGACAAAACTTTTGACTGCTCACAGTTGGTCTGGCTCATAGTCAGAGTGGTTTTTAAGCAAGAACTATGATTTATTACAGTGAGTCTGACACTTGGTTAGTGTGGATTTTATGACATTTAAACTGATCAAACATGATCACATAGTCGTTATGGCTTGTATTTCAGAACACTGACCGAAGACATATGGTCATTATGGGGTTTATGTAAAAGATTGAGGACTGTTTCATCAGTTTTTATGTTAATTATTACTTATTTTTAATATTGGTTGAGTTTTTTACTTTTTCACTTTTTAAGTTGTATTTGAAAATATTACCCCCAAGAAGAGAAAGGTAAAATAAAACAAATCTTTTGAGAATTGGGTATTGATTTAGAAGCTTAAAACTTTTGTTGTTATGCTATTTCAAAATATAATAATAATAATAAATGACATTCTTTGCATTCTTATGTTGTAAAAATTGTATTTCACGACAAATTTTGAACCCAATATCATCAGTCTCATTGTCATTAGTTTCATCCTTGATTTTATGATTAAACTATTTATTTGTTTAGTGTTGTTTGTTACTAATACCTACGTAGCAGCATATTTATCCCATCTGGTCAGAAAGGTCAAAGGAGTTATTACATGTCAAAACTGAAGCACAAAACTTTCACTTTTTCTTTCAGTTTTAGAATCTTAAGATTTGACAGTTAAGACTTTGTTCATATCTTTCAAACAGAACAAAATGGTATGGCCAATTTCCCCTGTATAAGTTTCACTCACAGGATGAGAATCAGGAAATTGTTTTAAAAAACCTATTGACATTGGAATGTTATATTGTCTAAATAATGTACGTAAAAGTTATTTTTTAACTATTTTACTTGTACAGTGTATCTATAAACCTAGATGATATTAAGCTCAAAACAGTTATGGAAGACATAATATTAAGCTCAGCCTATAGCTGTTGGATATATGATATTCAGCTCAGCCCATTGCTGTTGGAGATATGATATTAAGCCCAGCCAATTGCTGTTGGAGACATGATATTTAGCTCAGCCCATTGCTGCTGGAGACATGATATTGAGCACTTCCCATTGCTGTTGGAGGCATGATATTTTGCTCAGTTCATTACTGTTGGAGACATGATATTCAGCTCAGCCCATTGCTGTTGGAAACATGATATTAAGCTCAGCCCATATCTGTTGGAGACATTATATTTAGTTCAGCCCATTGCTGCTGGAAACATGATATTAAGCTCTTCTCATTGCTGTTGGAGGAATGATATTTTGCTCAGTCCATTACTGTTGGAGACATGATATTCAGCTCAGCCCATTGCTGTTGGAAACATGATATTAAGCTCAGCCCATATCTGTTGGAGACATTATATTTAGTTCAGCCCATTGCTGCTGGAAACATGATATTAAGCTCTTCTCATTGCTGTAGGAGGCATGATATTTTGCTCAGTCCATTACTGTTGGAGATATGATATTAAGCTCAGCCCATTGCTGTTGAAGACATGATATTAAGCCCAGCCCATTGCTGTGCAAGACATGATATTAAGTGCAGTCCATTGCTGCTGGAGACATGATATTTAGCTCAGTCCATTATTGTTATGGACATGATATTTAGCTTTCAGCCCGTTGCTGTTGGAGACATGACTTTAAGCTCAGTCCATTGCTGTTGGAGACAGATATTTAGCTCAGCCAATACCTGTTGGAGACATAATATTTAGTTGAATTAAATGCTATTGGAGACCTGATATTAAGCTCAGCCCATTTCTAATGCAAACATGATATTAAGCCCAGCCCATTGTTGCTTGAGACATGATATTAAACCCAGCCCATTGCTGTTTGAGACATGATATTTATCTCGGGCCATTGCTGCTGGAGATTTAACTCAGTCCATTACTGTTGGAGATGTGATATTTAGCTCAGCCCATTACTGTTGGAGACATGATATTAAGCCCAACCCATTGTTATTGGAGACATGATATTTATCTCAGCCCATTGCTACTGGAGACATGATATTTAGCTCAACCCATTATTGTTATGGACATGATATTTAGCTTTCAGCCCGTTGCTATTTGAGACATGATATTTTGCTCAGTCCATTGCTGTTGGAGACGGATATACAGCTCAGCCAATACCTGTTAGAGACATGATATTTAGCTGAATCCATTGCTATTAGAGACCTGATATTAAGCTCAGCCCATTTCTGGTGTAGACATGATATTAAGCTAAGCCCATTTCTATTGGAGACATGATATTGTGCTCAGTCCATTACTTTGGAGACATGATATTAAGCCCAGCTCATTGCTGTTGGAGACATAATATTGAGCTCAGTCCATTACTGTTGGAGACATAATATTAAGCTTAGCCCATAGCTGTTGGAGACATGATATGTAGCTCAACCCATAGCTGTTGGAGACATAATATTAAGATCAGTCTATTGCAATTTAAGACATGATATGTACTTTAGCCCATAGCTGTTGGAGACACGATATTTAGCTCAGCATATTGCTGTTGAAGATATGAAATTAAGCTCAGTCTGTTTCTGTTGTAGACATGATATTTAGCTCAGTCCATTGCTGTTGGAGACATGATATTAAGCTCAGCCTATTGCTATTGAAGACATGATATTTCATTCAGTCCATTGCTATTAAAGACCAAAATTTTACTCAGTCCATTGCTGTTGGAAACATGATATTTATCTCAGCCCATTGCTGTCGGAAACATGATAATTTGATATTTATCTCATCCCATTGCTGTTGGAAACATATTAGGCTCAGTTCATTGCTGTTTGAGACATGATATTAAGCTCAGTTCATTGCTGTTGGAGACATAATATTAAGCTAAGTCTATTGCAATTTAAGACATGATATGTACCGGTACTTCATCCCATTGCTGTTTGAGACATTATATTGAGCTTAGTCCATTACTGTTGGAGACATAATATTAAGCTCAGTTTATAGCTGTTGAAAACATGATATTTATCTCAGCCCGTTGCTATTGAAGACATGATATTTCACTCGGTCCATTGCTGTTGTAAACATGATATTTATCTCAGGCCATTGCTGCTGGAGATTTAACTCAGTCCATTACTGTTGGAGATGTGATATTTAGCTCAGCCCATTACTGTTGGAGACATGATATTAAGACCAGCCCATTGTTATTGGAGACATGATATTTTGCTCAGTCCATTACTTTGGAGACATGATATTAAGCCCAGCTCATTGCTGTTGGAGACATAATATTGAGCTCAGTCCATTGCTGTTGGAGACATAATATTCAGCTTAGCCCAAAGCTGTTGGAGACATGATATGTAGCTCAACCCATAGCTGTTGGAGACATAATATTAAGCTCAGTCTATTGCAATTTAAGACATGATATGTACTTTAGCCCATAGCTGTTGGAGACATGATATTCAGCTCAGCATATTGCTGTTGAAGATATGAAATTAAGCTCAGTCTGTTTCTGTTGTAGACATGATATTTAGCTCAGTCCATTGCTGTTGGAGACATGATATTAAACTCAGCCTATTGCTGTTGAAGACATAATATTTCATTCAGTCCATTGCTATTAAAGACCAAAATTTCACTCAGTCCATTGCTGTTGGAAACATATTTATCTCAGCCCATTGCTGTCGGAAACATGATATTTATCTCAGCCCATTGCTGTTGGAAACATATTAGGCTCAGTTCATTGCTGTTTGAGACATGATATTAAGCTCAGTTCATTGCTGTTGGAGACATAATATTAAGCTAAGTCTATTGCAATTTAAGACATGATATGTACGGGTACTTCATCCCATTGCTGTTTGAGACATTATATTGAGCTTAGTTCATTACTGTTGGAGACATAATATTAAGCTCAGTTTATAGCTGTTGAAAACATGATATTTATCTCAGCCCGTTGCTATTGAAGACATGATATTTCACTCGGTCCATTGCTGTTGGAAACATGATATTTATCTCAGGCCATTGCTGCTGGAGATTTAACTCAGTCCATTACTGTTGGAGATGTGATATTTAGCTCAGCCCATTACTGTTGGAGACATGATATTAAGCCCAGCCCATTGTTATTGGAGACATGATATTTATCTCAGCCCATTGCTGCTGGAGACATGATATTTAGCTCAACCCATTATTGTTATGGACATGATATTTAGCTTTCAGCCCGTTGCTATTTGAGACATGATATTTTGCTCAGTCCATTGCTGTTGGAGACGGATATAAAGCTCAGCCAATACCTGTTAGAGACATGATATTTAGCTAAATCCATTGCTATTAGAGACCTGATATTAAGCTCAGCCCATTTCTGGTGGAGACATGATATTAAGCTAAGCCCATTTCTGTTGGAGACATGATTTTTGCTCAGTCCATTACTTTGGAGACATGATATTAAGCCCAGCTCATTGCTGTTGGAGACATAATATTGAGCTCAGTCCATTTCTGTTGGAGACATAATATTAAGCTTAGCCCATAGCTGTTGGAGACATGATATGTAGCTCAACCCATAGCTGTTGGAGACATAATATTAAGCTTAGCCCATAGCTGTTGGAGACATGATATGTAGCTCAACCCATAGCTGTTGGAGACATAATATGAAGCTCAGTCTATTGCAATTTAAGACATGATATGTACTTTAGCCCATAGCTGTTGGAGACATGATATTTAGCTCAGCATATTGCTGTTGAAGATATGAAATTAAGCTCAGTCTGTTTCTGTTGTAGACATGATATTTAGCTCAGTCCATTGCTGTTGGAGACATGATATTAAGCTCAGCCTATTGCTATTGAAGACATGATATTTCATTCAGTCCATTGCTATTAAAGACCAAAATTTCACTCAGTCCATTGCTGTTGGAAACATGATATTTATCTCAGCCCATTGCTGTCGGAAACATGATATTTATCTCATCCCATTGCTGTTGGAAACATATTAGGCTCAGTTCATTGCTGTTTGAGACATGATATTAAGCTCAGTTCATTGCTGTTGGAGACATAATATTAAGCTAAGTCTATTGCAATTTAAGACATGATATGTACCGGTACTTCATCCCATTGCTGTTTGAGACATTATATTGAGCTTAGTCCATTACTGTTGGAGACATAATGTTTAGCTCAGTTTATAGCTGTTGAAAACATGATATTTATCTCAGCCCGTTGCTATTGAAGACATGATATTTCACTCGGTCCATTGCTGTTGGAAACATGATATTTATCTCAGCCCATTGCTGTTGGGAGACATGATATTAAGCTCAGTTTATTGCTGTTGGAGACATGATATTAAGCTACCGGTAAATATATTGCAATTTAAGACATGATATGTACTTCAGCCCCTTGTTGTTGGAGACATGATATTATTCTCAGCTCATTACTGGAGACATACTATTGAGCTCAGTCCATTGCTATTTGAGACATGATATTAAGCTCAGTCATTGCTGTTGGAGACCTGATATTAAGCTCAGCAATTGCTATTGGAAACCTGATATTAAGTTCAGCCTATTACTGTTGGAGACATGATATTAAGCTCACCCCATTGCTGTTTGAGACATGATACTAGTATTCA